GTAAAGCAGTGTTACGTGCACAGGTCAGCCGTGTGGGAATGCCCCTGTGTAAAGCAGTGTATGTGCACAGTTCAGGTGTGGGAATGCTAATGTGCAAAGCCACATGAACTTGATACCCATATAATGTCTAATGATTTTTATTTATGAAATGTAACAAATATAGAACTACCTCATAAATTAATAATTAATTATGCGTGCAAAAATAAGACTTGTAGCTTATGTAACTTCTATGAGTATATAAAATTTCAAATTTGGCGATCAATGATCATTGTTGACACACCACGGCACACAGTGCACAACAATGAAATGTGTCCTCTGCATTTAACCCACATGTGACATCGTGACATAGCAGAGGGCAGCTAATTCAGCACTCAGGGAGCAGTACCTTGCTCAGGGTACCTCAGTGTTACTGCCAATTTATTAGTGATTCAAAGAAAAAAATGTTTTATTTCCATTCTCTGTTTTCTGTTTAATTTTAGAACATATCAATTTGCAAGTGATACACAGAAAACAGTCTGTATACATTGAGTGTTTAGTCAAACCTTTATATTTTCTTTGGTTAAGGCAGGGGAGGTAAAAATAGTTGTGCAATACCAAGCATGTCCTGAAGGGGACAGAAAAGCTCAGGGAAACACCATGTCTAGTTTGCACTAAGACACACAGGAGCCCCCCTGTGTCTTCCAGTAGACCTTCATTTAATCAAGATGATCAACTTTACACAATCTCATACAAACTCAGAGAGACTAAGGTGATCAATGCAAATACAAAGCGAGACGAAAAAATATTTTATGGGTGGTGGAAAAAGAAAAAAAAATCTGAAATAAGTACAAAAGTTATTACTTACTAAAGTAAACTTTAGAAAAACTTCAATAAAAATCACGCAATAAATTTTGAGCTTTCTTAACACTTGATGTACTGATTCCAGCTATCAGCTATCAATTCATAAATTATTTAAAAATGTACTAATATGGATACAAAATCATGACAAATATTAATTAAATGTAAATCAAGTGTGACTCTTATTTACTTTATAAATCAATGGGTAAACAAATAAAATAATATAAATTAAGTAATCATTTGTTTCCCTAAAGTAAATGGATTTACCTTTAATAACAAGATGATTCCAGTGTTTTTAATAATGAATGGCCGAATTATAATTAGACTTAAATAAGCAAAAATCACATATTTTGGGCCAAAATGGTTCCTTTGTATATTAAGAAAAGTTAAAATATTGCTTATTTTTAAGGCCTTAAGGGTAGCACATTGTCAAACTAAGGATTGATAGTTATTCTCATAATTAAAAACTAAAAATGTCTACATAATTTAAATAAATAATCTAATGTTATCATACTGTAGTGCGGTTAATTGTATAACTAACCAATAAATTTCTTGCACTGCTTGTAATACATTCAGTAAAACAAAAATTACTATGAACTTCATATATTTCTGTAGTTTGGCATCCAATTCAACTTATGCTGTAAATCTTTGAACCAGTGTTCATAAATGAAACTAATTATATTATGAGTAACAAAAAAAAACTTCAGATAAAATAATGGCTAAAATATTACTATATAGCAATAAAACCATAATCTGAGGCAGCACAACCCAATCTTCCACTCAAGGTGAACAGAACAGAACACTATACAGTGATAGACAATTTTTATGCAATATTATTTTTTAATAAACTTGTCCACATATTGTGGGTACTTCTATTGACATTCTATTGATCTCACATTTTCACTTCACACTACCTGAAAATAACTACTAATTCTATTGAAATGTTTAATGCAGCCAATTTTCATGTAACACATCTTTGGATGTCCTAGGTAATAAGGGAGCAAAATTCAATTCAGATAAGTCTACAATTAACTGATGTCTAAATAATATTGTAAAGTATAATATCTCTGCAATACAACTCAACCTTCAATGGCCACAATGATGAGAAAATTTCCAAAATCAAACTACATTCATTCAATATACAGTAACTTACTGAGGAAGGCAATCCTGGCGGGACTTTGCGGACTTTTTTTGCCTGCAGTTCTGAAAAAGAAGCAATAAATAAGAATTATGTAATTGATTAAATAAATAAACACACGCATGCAGATGCACTCTGTGTTCACCAAAGGCAGACAGAGACGTACACAAATAATATCTTTAGATTTACACCATTTAATAAGTAAAAAAGGAAGCTAATATAGGGGAAAATGATGATTAGATTTTAGTTAAAAGTTATTTAAGAATTACCTTTGGCCAACACTGGTTTTTATTGACAGAAAATAATGATTCACCATGACACTGTTTTGGATAAGGAGTATAGAATATGTATGGATAATCGATAAATAGGTACAAATAATAAAAATCTATTCCATATTTATGTTAAACACATGCACACAAAATAACACAACAATAGCAAAATAGGGGAGCTTTTGATTTTATCACAGAACAATTGTAACAAAATGAGGTGAATCAAAAATACTAAATAATGAATTCAAATGGTAAACTCATTAGGCATATGATAAAAGACTTATTTTTATTTGAATCTATTTTCCATTTCTTAAAAAATATGTTATTAGTTGTACATCTATATCTGTACACACACGCACGCATACGCACGCGCGCGCACACACACACACACATACACACACACACACACACACACAGATGTAGATTCATACTACAGATTCTCAAAAAGAGACATGCTATTCCAAATGTGCCTCAACAACATTTCGGCCTTAATGTCTTAATACAAATTAATTTAATGATTAAAACACACAGAAATATTCAGCTGTAATTTAGAAGACTATGGATAGAGGAAGCAAAGTCCATACAGTGAGAGTGGGGACAAAAAGAAATTCTGATAAAATGCAAGTCCTTGAAGCTCACCCATGGAGTCCCCATGTAACGGTCTCCGCCGGGGATTACTGGCATAGTGCTGGTAGTGCTGGGTGCCAGGCTTAGTGGGCGAAGCTGCCCCTGGAGAACCAACTCCTATGTCTCCTGCCAGCAGGCTAGGCTGGACAATACATAGGTCATTAGAAATTATGCTGATAAAACTTCATCCCTGTAAGTTAATGCAATGCACATATCAAAACACATATAGCTGAATAGGCCAATTACAAATATAGATGTATTAGAAGCTAAACACACTCTGGGGAAAAATCAGCATGGCAGTGCTCAACGTAAAACAGTAGAATTTTGTACATGCATTACTCTTCAATTTAAACCCTGCAACCCAAACATAATTTAATATTTCAATACATGAAATCTAAAGAGAAACATTCCTCTAATAATATAGAAATTTACAGAACACAAACGCTACCATGAAATTTCTGTGGCATGCAGTTACTCAAAGAGAACACACTCTCATTGCATGAAGAACATTGTTCTCTTATATTTGTTAAATTAATCAACAACAAGCGCATACGGATTTGTTTATATTTTTTACGATATTTAATACCAACATTATCAGATATTTCCACACTAGCTACATATACACATATGAATATATACATATACAGGTGTATACACACACACACATGAACATACCCAGCTTTATCAATACTTGGATTTCTATACTTCACTTATAGTGACTGAAGTAATTAGTGTAGTTTATCAAGTAGAGAAAGTGTTTTCCCTAATCTAAATTCTAATCACTGTGCCTCTCACAACAGAGTTAGTAATGCTTCACCAGAATACCATTCAAATGCAAAATACCCTAAATAGGCCAATTACAACTCTGCTCCTGGTCCCAAGTTAACCCACAAAGGACTAAAGGATCTCAAGCTATTCATACGATAAGACAAAGGGCTCCTTGTCTACAATAAAGTCACTACACCTCCCTTCTGCATTTAAGCTGTTTTTTTTTTTGCTTGGTTAGCTTAAAGCGTAAAGGGCGTCTGCTACAACAAAAGTGGCACATTGTCGATCAGGCTTTTTTTTTTTTGTCCGATATCACGTTGCCCTGGCAACTCCGTGTAATAAAATTCTCATGGTGTTCATCTTGCAAAGTCTGAAACATGACTGCCAGTACCCAGCTGGCAGAAAGTAGAAATATTAACAAAGATGAATAACAAGCACCTGAACATTGCAAACACACTTACTGAAGAATTAAGACTTTAATGTTGGAATTGCTAAAATGGGTATGCCTGTTTAGGCAAAAAACAATGATTACAAAAGATATTATTGTAATTAAAATAACCCAAAACAAATTGTTTTGTGGGAGGGAAAAACAAATGTACCTCTTTTACTGGCACTTTTCTTTCAGCTGACAAATTAAAATGCTAAAAAAATTAGTTGCTATGTACTGAAAGGGTTCAATAAACCCAGTACTGATCAGACTATTATTTATGGTTTTTGGCTATTTTAGTTTTTTGACTGTATTCACAGATTTTTTATAAAATTGAAGATTATGTTGTGGCTACCTAGAAAAAATGTCCCCACAAGCAAAAAAACGGTTTTATCACGTTGTGGGGACAAGGGGGGTGTTCCACGAAGCAGGATTAAGTGAAAGTCTGACTTATTTCAACAAGTCTGGCTCAGTTAAGTGGGAGTTCCATTCCATCAACGTGTCTTAAATGAATCCCTGCTGACGTACCATGGTAACTTAGGTGAGTGAATAAGTCTGCTCCGGACCAGGTTAACTGTCATTAGTTAAGCGGTGTCAAACATAAAATGTAACGACTGAAAATAAAATTAAAAAAAGTTAAAATAATATGAACAGGAAGATATTTTAATATTTTGTTTAGTCAGTCTACTTTGAAAGTTTATTAGCAAAAAGCAAAGACAAATTCAATTATTTGTGCAGAACATTTCACAAGGATGCAACAAAAAATTTTACGGAGATCAAATAATACAGAATAGCATTGTACAGTAAGAATGACACGTGAAGTCAAGCCAGAAGGTAACCAAACCACTATACCACCGTGCCACTGTATTAGGCAGTTTTACATAACTTACACATTTAGTCTGTCTGCAATTCATTGCCAAGCCAACTCCTTTGGCTTTATTTATGGCCACAGTATTGCCTTTTTTAGCGATATACATCTGTATTTTTCATACAGCTCCATCAGCAACATTTGTTCTGTGGCGGAAAAAACACCGCGCTCGTTTTACACGCTTTCCGACTAATTTGATCGATGTATCGTTCATCCATTCATTTTGGCTTCTTAAATATCTCGGGTGTGCGCACTAAGTGAGACTATGCAAGTTGTCTTATATGAGCCTTGATTAGCTAAAGCTTAACTGCGTTAGTTGAACGATATGAGACTAAGTTTAGAAATGGCACTAATTTGAGTCTGACTTTTCCGGGAAAGTCTGGCTTTCTTTAGCTACTTTCATTGAATACCCCCCAGGACACAATTCTCTCTCTCTCTCACTCACTCACTCACACACACACACAGAGAGAGAGAGAGAGAGAGAGAGAGCTACATTCATATCTTTGTGGTGACTGTCCATTCACTTCTAAGGGCAGAACAATATTCCCAACAATGACAACCTTAACCATAAGTATTCAAAAAATACAGGCCTTTTGGCATTTTTAGTATTTCGGTTGCACTCACAGATTTTTCTAAAATAGAATTTCCCCTTGTGGGGACCGAAAAAATAACAGGTTTTTATCAAATTGTGGGGACATATGGGGTGGGGGGACCAGGTACACACTACATTGTATACCTTGCCATTGGAAGTTTCCTACAATTTACAGGCAATTTAGAAATCCTTTACTTGCGGGGTATAAAGATGTGTTCAAAACTGAGACTGGAGGCAGTGTAAATATATTGTTGTCAATCACTGAGTAACATTAGTTAGCTCGTCATTGTTTAGGCTCATAATATGTAGGAAGGTCTAAGGTAAGATAATCTTACCAGAGGCCCTTATATGCCTCAGATACAAACAAACAACAACAACAATAATAATGATAATCATTAATGTAATCTATAAATGATGCAGGCAAATTCTTAGATCAGAAGATGGTGACCTGCTTTTCATTCTGGGTATTGTACAAAAGTACATGCACCCCCATTTTTGGATTTTTGAAATTGATGGCATCTGAGTATTCTTTCCAGTCACGCAAGAGTTGGGAGGAAGATTGGGGCCGGGGGGGTACTCAGGAAGGAGTCATTAATTATGAGGAAGTGCTGGCGCTGCAGAGTGCACCTGTACATGTGCTCAAGCCGACTCTCAAGCCAGGAAAAAAAATCCTACCAACCCCAAGATCCTCTACCATCGCTAACTCAAAGCAATAGCCAAGAAACTGAATAATAGCACAGCACTAGTTAATCTGCAGAATTACAATGTTTAATAGCCACTGTGATTTTGGTGGGGTGGCATCTGGACACAACCCAGTCACCTATTTAAGTTACTGGGTTAAGAAAGCAAGGCTATACAAGCATGTTTCAACACTTCAGAGCTCATCTCAGAAGATCAACTGAAACGCTGGCCTAACCATCACAAAATATTAAAGTACTATTTGCTGTAATTTCCACTGTGTTTAATTAAAAGAAAGGTGTGCTTACAGGTTAATCATATTCTGTATTAAAAAAACAAAGAGGAAAAAGTAGCAAAAAAGGTGAACTTGCAGGTTAATCATATTCTATATAAAATACCCAAACTAAAGAATAGCATCAGCAATATAACCTTCATTTACTCCCAATTTGATAACTGCAAATCTAAGGACAGTTTATTTGACAAAACAATAGTATAACAAGCACTGCAGCTGAAGTCTTGGTAACTTGAATTTTTATTATTATTTCACACGCAACATCATACAAATGCTTTCCAAGGTAAACGGTATCACGATGCTAAGTATTAGCAATCAATGTTAAGCCAGGTTTTCTTACTGAAACCAAGATTACTTTTTGAGTATGTACAAATAAAAGTGTGCTGCGTGCAGTGATCAACCAATCATGTAAGCATGGATTGCAACAGGGCTGTGTATTTCAATGCAGTGAAAGAGAATTATTTTTATGGTATAATATGAAGAATTCAAAAGTACAATAGCAGCTGCTGCCAAAGCTAGAAAGGCAAACTGGCAGCGGATCACTGGCAACATAAATGCACATGTACGGTTTGATTTCCATTAAAAAAATGTCAATAATTGTCTTAATTTCCAAAAATGTGCTTTGTGGTTTTTGTAATTATTCTTAGTCTTTTTATTCACATTCATAATCCCTTTTTTATTTTTCAGCATTAAATAAACTTGTCACCCTTCAAAACCCTGCCAAAATTAATTTATCCATCCATCTCTCTCTCTCTCTCTCTCTCTCTCTCTCACACACACACACACACACACTTGTATTCATATCTTTGTGGGGATCGTCCATTCATTGCTATGGGGAACACCCAAATCCAAACTATCACAACTTTAACCTCTACCCAACCTTAAACTTACCAATAAGTAACCAAACTAAATACAAGACTTATGACAATGATTTTTTTTTTTTTATTGCATTCACATATTTTTATAAAATTGAGTTTCCCTACAAGGACAAAATAATATGTTTTATCACACTGTGGTTATATTTGGTCACCACAATGAAAAAAATAAAAAATAATAAAATAAATAAATAAATATATATATATATATATATATATATATATATATATTAATAATTGCATTCACCACCAGTGACGGTTAGAGTGACAGCTAGGCTTATTGAATGTGAATGGGGAGGGAACACTACCGTATCCATAGATCCATAGCCCAAAATTTGGTGCTACGTCCCTGGTTTTAGTCTGCCAAGAGCAATTCTAATGGAACTGTGTGATGAATTGGCCCTGACTCTTGAACAACCTGCATTATGGGAACTTGCTGACACATCAAGGATATCCCAGCCCTTTATTCCTCAAATTTTGACTGTTATTAACTGACTGCCAAGACATTACATTAAGTTTCCTTAGTGTGGATGTACAGGCAAAAATTACAATGCAAACAGCAACGCTATTTCGCTATTTTGAAATTCCTCAATATCGATAGGAAGTATCATGGTATGCTGTGTTACGGTTACACCGCCCAAG